GAGCAATTACGTGGATGAGGGAATCCTCCATTAGAACAGTTCGTTTTTTCGTCTTTGCACTTGTCTACAATACTCCCTTCTTTATTTAGCATTCGAGAGCGTGAATGTCGATAAATATATCGCTCACCAGTGCAATTGTAGTACATATTCATCATGAGCAGATCGTAGAATGAAATGATTTAGATCCCAGGGTCTCCATGTAGTTAACATCTTTGGGCACAATAGTGATATTTCCCGCTTTGGCAAAGCTATATACATAATGTAATTTTCGTCAGTTTTGCAAAATTAGCATAGAAGGCTCACGTTCTGGCTCCGTAGTGCATCACGCTACCGTAGTCATATGTTAAATTATAGTTGTTATTGGTTTTCCTCGATTGCCTCACGAAATTTTTACGCCGGTCACGCTAAAGCCATCGGCAGTATTATACTCTTTCTATAGCATTTGCAAATCTTACCTGGATGTTACTTCTTGAGGACAGTGATGAAATCGTTGCGGTCATGTCTCGCATGTGTATGCCAGAATCCTAGAGCATGGCCTATCTCGTGAGCTGCCATTCCGGTCTGCGAAAGAGAAAAGTAATTAGTGATGGGGAACATTCAAGAGTTGTGCTAAAACTTTCGGTTACACTGCTCTCTAAGGGCATCATGGACTTATACGGAAATATTCATTTTGGAACCAGCACCGTTTCACAGTTGCTGTCGCCGAGTGAAAGTAACTGCCATCCGCCCTGTCTGCCAACTTCTGCCCAACATCCGTGTTCCTTGAACACAAGAAGAAGGTCCTCAGCTGAAAAATGACCTTCAAGGATTCATGGTACGTTTGAAACCCTTTTACCTTCTTCGTCTTCATCTTCTTTGAAGTCAATGCATGTGTAATTCATCCACAGTTCCGCCGCTTTCTTGAAGGCAGCTTTTGCATTATCCCCTGTAATTGCTGCGGAAATTTTATTTTTTTTACACATGAGCTAGCCACTTACCTAAGCTACCATCGAATGAGTAGAAAACGCCATTTGGCCATCTCATGCCAGGGTAGATTTCATCGTTATGAGCTTGCCGTTTGGTGCGGCTACCGACAGTATCCGCAATAACTTCGTCCTGTTGTTTCCTAATGGAAAGAGGTTCTTTTAGCAATTGTTTAAAAAGGCAGGCGGTACGATAGATTGGATACTGGATAAGGAAAGCACCTACTATAAATAGAGGCTAATGTGTCGAGAGGGGCGTTTTCTAGGGGATGGAGGCGCTCGTACCGGCTTGACAAAGCTCCACCCTTCACCCGAAAAGCCTTCACGTCTCCGCCAGAGATAACGGAATCTTCACGTCGAGAACGTGAATACTAATGAGGCATGGCCAACGTGCAAACCAATTAGGAATGCAAAGGTCTACTTCAAAGAGCTCAGATAAGTTCTTTTAGCGTCTTGATTTGTGTTCTGCTACACCTCTTTCCATCTCTTATTGTATCCGAACGTACCATCCGAACCGGTTTACTCACTACTGCACGCATAACATCGAAGCCTCTATTGAACACGGGCAGCTTAAATCACGATAGGATCTTCTGCTTGAAATGCGTACCGAACTGTCTGCTTGATACGCGCGTGGACTACGGAGTTAAACTGATGTCTTGAACAGCTCAGAATGTTCTCAGAATGTCAGAATGGTCGAATAATCCTTCATGCTAGTGATGTTGAAAATAATGCCCCCAGTACTCACTATCCTGTCTATTCCAACATCCGCCGTACACTCGTAAGCACTCTGGGGAGTGCAGCGGCCCAATGATAATTTGGACTGAGAACAACAACGTAAATAAATGATGTCGGAATGAATTGTCATATCGTTGTTATCAGTCCTTATAGCAGTCATCACTATCGGTGTCACTAATAGTTCATCCTCTTACCATTTGCTATCGGCAACCACCCACACTGCTGCCTGGTATGTCGCGATGCGTTACGTGACTTGGTTTAGCGCTCTTATAATAATCTGGCCCCACTAAATCTGTTCCTCTACCACGAACATCCTCCTTAAATAAAGCCTCTCCATGGTGCACCGAGCGCGTATGAATTTCCTGACAACCAGAGCGCCCGCGAGCGCCACACAACACCACGAGACAGCACATCTATAGCTGTCGTGTAGTATAGATAAAAACAAACTTGTTGAGGACCATATCTCCCTGGAACAACATATCTACAATTCCACGTTTCGTGTTGACTTTTTCAATTGAGTTTTCCTTACGTTTACTGAATGCCTTTTGAGAGACTGAAATAACGTACTACTCCTGTTTCGATCAATGTCATCGATAGAAATGACCAACCTTCAGTCTTCTTAGCAAGTCGATCTGTTCCGAACTCAAAGAATTCTCCGTATTTATCGTTTCATTGCATTCGTTTAGGCCTTCATGGAGTTTGAGCATGTTGTTTAAATCCTTCAACCTATGAGTGTGTATGTATAATAGCAGATGAAATCACCATATTCAGCAATAATTTGTACTCTCTGATGCTTGTCGAAACGTTTCTGAAGTGAGGTTTATGAGACCTTCTATTATGGGAGATTTCACAACCTCGGAAAAGCCTGGGCTCACGAGTGCTGCCACAAGTGAAAGAAGTAGAAGGACCATTATGGTGCACTGAACAGCTGCGAGGTCTCTGACAGTAAGAGCACCAGGAAGTTACTGATAGCTCAGTAGAGGAATAGGTAGAGAAGGGTGCTTCCTTGATTGTTTTGTATTTATACGTACGTAGCATATCTAGCGTAGACTTCCGCGTTGACATTGCCGGTGTGTTTTCCATGTCGGGACATCACCATGGACGACCATCAGAATGTACTGCGAACATCAGTCAAATATTTGTGAACTTGCAGAATGCAGCGGAGGGCAGTCTCTGCAGAACGCAACGGAGGACAGTCTGTGCCTCAGAAACGCAAAAAGAATGATGGAAATCAGGAGCGTTGTTTTCCTCGCCTTTATGATAAGGACTTTGAAGGAGATCGAGAGCTTTTCCAGTGTTCGATTCATAAAATTGGCCGGCAGTTGTAGTCAGTCAGTTATTGAAGTTTTTCAGAGGCACATTTTCATGAGAAGCAGCGTAGAGGTTATCATATAATTTTGTTGGAGTCTACAATTGAGACTTGCGGAAAAGCCTTGCCACACATATCATTCAGCCTCGCCAAAGTTCATTTAGTGGCAAGGGCGCTATTCTTCTTTGATTAGTAGAAAAATTTTAAGAGATTCTACGAAAAATGGTCGGAAAATGGCTTTGTGAGTGCTTATTTGTATGTCTAATTGCTAGAGTTATGGATATTTAGGGGCGGAAGTGGTGTAGTGGCAAGTGGCACGCTTACCACGCGAGCGGTCCGGGGATCAAATCCTGGGTCGTGAGTCGCCCGGGCCAACCAAGCCTTCCATCCCTCCGGGGTCGGTTAATTGGTACCAGACTTGTCTGGGAGGATAAAAACACTGACTTGTACATCGGCTGGCCCCCGCAAGTCATTGTATAGGCCACATCGCATTCAAACGCCACTACGAATGTACAAATGGAAGTAGAATGCGTGCCGCATCCCAAAAAGGGATTGATCAACGGCAAATGCTTTATCCTTTATCTTTATGCTAGAGTCACTAGTTTTTCGAAGTAATCCATGAAAGATTCATCCTCTTCTGCAAAAAAAAACTCGAATGAAAACTAGAATATTCATCCAAGCAAGACAGTTGCAGATGCAAAAGAAAAAAAACCAAAGGATCATAGATTCGGTCAACATCTAGTCCGTGTCCTCCAGCCACCGACAATATTGTAAACACTGTGGCTGGTTAGAAGGTCACAGAACAGACGGCAGAGAACGAACCTCGGAAATTGATGTGGAAAGTGTTCGTCTCTCAAAATGCGACTCTAGGGTGGAATCAGAAGAATTCTAAACAGGAAGGTTGTTCAGGACGCTCCCATTTCAAAACGGCACATTGCATCATATAGCTTCGGCGTCATTATGGAGCACAAAACTATGTTCCGTTTCTGCTGAGCTGTCCTGTGAACTACAAAAAATGGATGAAACTTTGCTTGCACATTATAATCAACAGAGTGTGAGAGAAGTAAAATGGTATGGCCAAAGGAATGAGAATACAGTCCAGTAACTCAGAGTGCCGGTAGGACGAAAAGGCAATCAAATCCCGCCACAAAGTGCGGGAGCCTAGTGTTTTAGTATTGTGACGATGTGACGATTATGAGCTTCTAAAAATTACTTTTTGGCACGGAAGGTTTATTTGTTGGCTCCTTTAAGGCAGCGATTCACCGATACCAGAGGGACGAGGCGCATCGGGAAACAATGTGCGCCACATGAAGTTAAGTTAGCTTGGGTGCATGGAGCGGGAGTGGCGTATGTACGTAAAGGTGCGCCTGATGTGCTGGGCTTCAAGGCGTCGCCTCAAAGCGATCCGCCCCTAGTTTAGGTTGGGCGATTGGTGGACGAGCTGCGGTTGCCGCTTGGCAAAACTGGGGCATCAATGGAACGAGAAGGTTTGAGATCAAGAAGGTGCCGCCCAAAAGTCTTTTGCGGTGAACTAGTTCATTAACGTCCTAATCTTGAGCTGTACCTGTTCAATCTGTGCTGTTATCTACTCAAAGAGTGAGAACTCAACGGCAAAAAAAAGGGTCCCGTTTTGCGTTTTCTTGACGGATTTCTCTGCTTTTTTCGCTACTGGCGTACCACTGAGCACCACCTCATCTCTATGAACCCTCCTACAAATTATCGTAATCGCTGCCTTTAACCCTGGCACCCACCGGTATGTTCGCCGCGTGGGACAATGGACCCAGTGGTGGGTGCCGCCTTACGCCACGGGTGACATTGGACGATGCAGTGAGGTTTATCAGGAAGGATTCACAACATGGTCAAAAGTTGTGCCAAGACCATATTGGGGGATGTACCCGGGCCAGGGTAAATCTCCGAGACCTTATGCGGCAAGCCACGAAGTCGTCGGGGATATATCCCCAGACCATCAGGGCTTGCTGCAACAACGACTGCTTCTATCCACACCAATTCGATCTGGGGTTGTTACTTGATTTGCTGATGTCCCTTGTTACCCCTCTTCCACCCTGTTATGCTTAGGCCACGGCTCCAAGTGCAAAAGTGGAGGGTAACGTAACATTTAGATTCTGCTACGACTATGCGGATTTGCACGTAGCTTGCTCATGGGACCACGCCTCCTTTTGGCGCGCCCAACTCTCGCTCACAAAATTGTCCCTCAAGCAGTTTTCTATAGAATTTTGACTTTAACAGTATACCAGATATAACTGCAGTTCTAGGCTTTCATACTGTATATTGTTTTCAAGAGAATTCCAAATTTGGAAGGGAACTCGGGTTTTAAAGGGAAGGAGGGCAAAACCTCTAAAAGTTTAAGTGTCCAAGAGAATTTTCGATACACTTCAAACCCCTTCCCATATCTGAGGGCTATGAGAAGACGAAGAAGTCCTGATTAGTAATTAATCTTCAGCCTAATAATGCAAAACCCCAATTAATATGCTGGCGAGCTAAATGGCACATTCTAAAATTCTATATAAATTAGCTCTTAATAAACATTTCTGTAAGCCGTGCTAGTCATAGATATTATGGAACTTGCTTATAATTATTGGGGTGTTACAAATGTTTTGAATGCGCAAAGAAGGAAATTCATCCAGCTCCAGTCTAGGCCATTTCTTAGTCATGTGATGGCATT